GTTGTGCAAAACCAGCAAATATTCCATTGTCCAATTTAAAAAAACCCTCCATTTAATGACTCATAGTTTTGTGGTGGGGTCTTGATTAATTCCAAAACCATGCTGACGGCAGACTGGCAGGTTTTACATCCGAACAGGAAAACAGTTGCATGCGTTAGCAGGGGAAAAAAAAGCTCTCGCCCTAATCTTGTCTAAACAAACATTGCAATTTCAAAACCCAGCCTTTTGAGGTGCCTTCTTAAAAATGGGTGCATTCCTGAAAACAACTGAAGTTGTTATCCCTCTGAAATGCTCCTGCACTTGGATGGGGAGGTGGGGCAGAAATGTCCATTTTGCCAATTGAGTTTTACAATATCTACGTGAAATGTGAAAACCTTGGAGTCTTAGGTTTGTTGTGAGTCAGTCACTGCACCCATCACAGCAGTTCCGACTCCCTCCAGCCGAGGGCAGTGGGCCCCCGAGAAACAAGCCGCTGTGCTACACCATAGCTGCCTTGTCTTGCATTGTTTCTACTTCCAGCTCTCTGTGTTCACTGCTAATGGACAGACGCCTCCTTCTCTCAGCTTCCCAGGAATCTTGGGAGAGGAGGACAAGACGTTATTTTCCAGCACATCCCCCAATTCATTCGTGCCTGCTGCAGGAAGTTGCAGCTCACCCGAACACCATAGCACGAATAACTTACTAGTTCCCGAGGGCAGGCAATGTAATAGGCCCCCCAGCTTGCCCGAGGGATCAAGCAGCATGAGCTTCCTAGAGTGAAGGGTTCCTACCTGCTTTTCCTGAAAGTATGACTGCTTTACCAGCTCTCTGGTCACTGACTGACGGGCTGCCCACTCAGCTGTGTGTCTTAAGGATGTTAAATTGTGGTTAATTGACTACTCGAGTAGTCGGTGACATTTCCATTGACTAGTCAATAGGCACTTCTGCTTTCCTCCTTTGAAATGTACAAGAGCCCCTGCTGGGGCTCTTGTACATATCAAAGGAGGAATGCGGAATTCCGCATGGAGCCCGGGGCCACAGACTCCAGGCTGCACACTGCTTCGGCGTTTCAAAGGGGCAGCGCTGCACAGCGCTGTGCCACTTTGAAGTATCCTTTCTTCCCCCTTCCCTTTGCTGCCTTTATCTGATAGTGGCATCAAGGAGGGGGAATCAACTAGTTGACTGACTGTCCCATAAACATTTGCTTATAGAATAGTCGACTAGTCCTTAACATCCTTACTGTGTCTGTGTCCTGTGTGTGTGAGTGAATGTGAGAGCTGTGTGCGCGTGAGTGTGTCTGTGTGTCTGAGTGTGAGTGTGTGTGCTCTGTGTGTGAGTGAATGTGAGTGAGCTGTGTGTCTGAGTGTGAGTGTGAGTGTGAGTGTGAAATTACTCCATCACCCTAGCGGGTTGCAAGAAACAAAGTTGAGCAGCCTCCTTCTGAAACGTACCCAGGTGTCAGCCGGACTTGTGCCAGCGCCTTCCGGGAAAATCCAGGCAGTACCTCAGCAGCAGTGAGAATGTCAGTGCCAAAGGACGCAGATGGCTGCAGCACCGGGGGCAATGCATTCAGAGATCCTATGCAGACAGAGCTGGAGGACCTAACAAGGGGAACCCATTCCACAACAAAAGCCATGGTTGCAAGGAGCCCACATGTCAATGCAGGCCTCTAGCCAGGGAGGCCTGCTCAGCCGCCAGGGAGGCTAACGAAGTATGAATGACGATGGAGTCCTCTGCAGGGCTGACTTTACCCATGACCCGAGAGAGCAATGGAGCAAGTGGCTGGTTGAGGTTAGTGGCTTCCCACAAAGCCTCCAAAAACAGGCTACCATGAGCGGGAAGCAGCTCAGGTCCCTGGCACAGAGGCTTCCCCTTGGGATAGCTCTGTGGACCACTTGGAAGTGTTTTGGTGCCCAGCTGTGCCCCAGCCACTGCCATTTGAGGCCACTTGTCAGTGCTACTTGCGAATGAGGAAGAAGAGTCTTGTGGTTAAGGCCCTAGCATGAGGCTCTGTGAGACCTGAATTCAATTCCTGGTTCTATTTACAACTTTTGTGACCTTGGGCATGTAACAGTGGCTCTGTGCATCAGCTTCCCCTGCTGTAAAACAGGTGAAAGCTTCTTCCTTCCTACCCTGAGCAGGCTGGCAGCAGAATGGGACAAGGACCATTCTTGCTCTGTCTAGACAGCCCCTAGCACAGTGATGGGCAGTCCACTGGGGTTCCATGTGTGGGGCGTGTGGCACTTCGTTTACTGTTGCCCATGCACAGGGTTGCCAGATTTCTGCTGGTTTCCATCCATGTAGTTGTTTTGCCTACCAGTATTACCAAAGTGACACATATGTAAAGCAAGGTACAGGAAGAGAGGTGCATGCTGATTGCACACAACATTGGCTGTGAGAGCCGTGTGCTCCCTCTGCCTCCAATCAAAGCACCGCTGCGGTTCAGTCAGCACCCTCCGCATAGTGCAGGGATACCAGCGCAGTGAGCAAAACTACCCTTTTCCAGGAGACTGCCTTGGTAAGGACAATCTGAGATGAAGGAAGGCCACTCATGCGGCCCACACACCAGCCTAGGTTGCCCATCGCTGCCCTAGCACAATCTATTCACAAGCACCGAGGCTTGGGCCAGGACTGGGCCATCAGTGTGCTCAGAGGTGCTGGAGCAATTTGTACAGTGGGGTTGCTGAGAGCCATTGAACCAAACTGCAAACATGGGAGGACAGAAATGGCTGCAAGCTGGGGGGGGCTGCCACACCCCCAGTACCCATGTATGCACCATTCTAAGCCACCATCACTTGTGTAACCCACCCAGGGAAGAGCAATGCCAATGCAGTGTCTTGGTTCAAGTGGTTTTATTTCAAAACTGGAGCTCAGTTTTCCCATTTGTTTTACAAGTTGTTTAAATAAATTTAATTATTCTACAGAACATTACACTTTTCCCTACTTCCCCCTATTTACAAATTAACATATTTGCCTGTAGATCATTGGCTAACCCCTTTCCCACGTGCCCTCCCCCCCGCCCCGCCCAGGCAGAACAGGGAAAAACAGCCGTCTGGGGAAGGTCTCCAAGGCATTGGTTTGCCCCTGTCTGATCAGTTCGCTGAGTCTTTTTGGAGAAGGAGAATGGCAGCACTAATTTGATATCTGGGGCTGGGCCCTCCCAGCCAGTTCCCTGGGTGTGCAAACACAGCAGGTCTATTTCAAATGGCTACCTAAGGAAGCCCTGCCTTTCTCCATAGCACAGGGTGCCACCTGTTCGTATAGCACATGGGCTTCTCTATATCTGACTCCCTGGGCCGGGCAGCTGCAGCATGCAAATAAAAATCCCAAACCAAATCCAGCCCCTCCCATTGTCCCTTCCAGAGCCTTTGAAAGCAGAAGTGGCTGGAGGCACAGGGAGATTGGCATCCAGGAGGGGAGAGAGAGTCCCAAGAAGGCTCCACTCCCCCCATCCTGCCATGCTGCTGCAGGAACACTTAAGTCAGTGTTGTGAGAGGCAGCAAGCAGGCTCATCCTTTGCCTTTGCAAGCAGGGGTGAAAGGAGCTGGGAAGGTGGCTACGGAGAGTGTGGGGACATGGAGGACACATCGGGAAAGAAGGCACCATAAAAAAAAGGAACCTGGGACTCAAGGCCTGGTCTACACACACGAGTTGTGCTGCTTTAACAACTGATAGAATGAAACCAGTGCAAACCTCCACTCTGTTAGACGGGTGCTTGCACCATATAACCTGTTCCACGTGGGAAGGGAAATAGAATCCAGTGTTACACGGCCCCTTTAACTAGCTCTTATCTAGAGCTTTTTGTCAGTAACTCTCAAAGCACTTTACAAAGTCTCTGTATGGCCATTTTACAGATGGGAGGACTGAGGCACAGACAAGGGGCATGGCTTGTCCAAGGTCACCCTGCAGAGCTACTGGGGTAACTGTTCAGATCATAAAAAATACACACTCCTCAGCTCACCAACGGATGTAGTTATAGCAGCATGAAACTGATGTGTAGACCTGGCTTTACATGCTGTCCTTCTGGCCAAGGGGAGTTCCATCCAGCCATGAGTACAATTTTTTTGTTTCAAATTAAAATCAAAAGCATAAACACCAAAAACTTCAGTTATTTTATCTATGAACACAGCAGGAAACAACCCGCTCTTTTCTCCAGCTTGTTTTTTTCAGGCAGTCAGGTTTAATGGCAATAGTTTCAAAAGCAGCCCCTGATGAGTATCAGTGTCTTAATTTTGGAGAGCTCAGCCAAGCACCTGAAATTTGCAATGGCTACTAAGAGAGTAGAAGGGGCCTGGCCCTACTGAAAATGAGGCTCCGTGAGCATCTCCAGCTGGGGACACACACCCCTCCCCCCGGGAACCCTCGCCCCCCGAAATTACTACTTGAGAATTTGGGCCAATGTCATTGTATCTGATTGAATTTGCCAAAAGGGGCATTTGCAATTGTGTTCCTCTTACCAATGACAATAGACTATAAAAGGATTAGCCCTGACTGAGATGAACTTTCATGTTAGTGTATGTGCATGTCAGAGAGAGAGAGAGAATCTGCATAAAACACTCATGTGCCCACTGACAAATTGGGGGAAGTTGAGAGAACATAAACACAAATGATCAGGGGACGGATTTAGAAGGAAATACTAACAAATCCACAAATACAGGCTGGCAAAAAGTTGACAGGGGCAGGGCAGATTTGACTCCACCCTCCAAACAGTCATAAAATTTAAAAAACCAAGAAGGAAAAGGAATTATTGAGGCTACGTCTTCCCTGCAAGTTTTTGCTGCACAAAGTATGCGAATGAGGGACTCATTAGCATAAGTTGCAACATCATTAGCATATTTTCTGCCATTTCTTTTTGCGCAAGGGGTTTTTGCGCAAAAAGAAGCAGTGTAGCTGCTTCCGTTTTGTGCAAAAACCCTGGAGAGGCATAAGGATCGGGGGTTTTGCGCAAAACGGAAGTGGCTGCACTGCTTCTTTTTGACCAAAAACCCCTTGCACAAAAAGAAACAGCAGAAAATATGCGAATGATGTCGCAATTTATGCTAATGAGTCCCTCATTAGCATTTTTTCTGCAGCAAAAAACTTGCAGTGAAGACGTAGCCTGAGAGTGGAGCCCATGGCTGCAGTGAGGAGCAAAAGGATAAAAATGAAAAACGTGGAAAACACGGGCTGGCTATGAGGAAAATCTTTCTGAGCGTGCGATGCATTAGACTCTGGAATCATCTCCCTGGGGGAACGGCAGAAGCCCCAGAGTTTGGGACTCAAGTGGATACTTCCCCCAAAGTTTCCTGCAGCAAACAATCCTGCAATAGCAACGGAGAGGGACTAGATAGCCTGATAGGCCTCTTCCATCCCTGACTGATGTGTGCGCGGACGCATGCTCTGTGCTCACAACAAAACGACCTCAGCGAGCTGTGTCATGTGCAAGGTCATCTCAAAAATATTACTAGCCTGTGGTGGCTTGTCTGCGGAACTCAAGGTAATTATCCCTAAAGGGAAGTAACCGTTTGAGGTGACCTTGACTAGGTTCCAACTCTGGCAACATCTAATCCTCTCCAGCAAGGAAACGCTAGGAGATGCTGACATTGTTGCACAGCTGAGGGAAGAACGATATAAATCAAAGCCATGGATTCCTACTGCAGGGGAACCCCTGCATTGCTCCTAGACCCAAGCAGCCAGTGGAAAGTCCCAGTTAGACAGCAGACAATGAGGGGCCAGCAGGCGAGTTTCTGTAGGAGAAAAGGGAACAGACACAAGCTGAGAAGGGCAGAGAGCGCGCGCTGCTGGCCCTAGAACAGGTCCCTAAATGGCACTGGCCTCTTTGGCCTTCTGAGCTCGGAGCGCGAGCCAGATCTAGGGCATGGAGACAGTTGCCGGGCTGTCGAGTGGCTCATCGTTCAGACGGTTCTCCGAGCTGCGAGGGGGTGAAAGGAGGGCCTCGGTCCATTGCTGGTGATGGAAGGAGCTGGCGACTCTCGGCTGGCACCAGTGAATCGGACACTGAAGCAAGGGGCCTACCAGAGAACTGACAAGAGAATGGGGACAGGCCGCTGCTTTGGGCCTTGGCGATATGTAAACATCCCCGGGGGAGAGCCAGGGGTCAAGCTCCCTTGGCAGGCAAGGACGCCCCCACGGAGGGCTGGCCTCCGCTCTGTGACCCCTCAGTAGAACGAATACTGGTTCTCAACCGCCCTGGTCCTGCTGCGTGAGCTGTCGCTGTCGTGGTAGTCCTCCGCGCTCACGCTGGGCGACTCCAGCAGGCGCTCGGTGCTGTTACTGCGGCTCCGGGCACTGAGGGTCCCCTCCATTCGGTGGTACAGGGGGTGGCTGGCGGAGGAGGAAGAGGCGACAGCCCCCTCCAAGGGCGACACGGGCTGGAAAGGGCCTGGCACGAAGCTGGCGAAGTAGTGTTGAGACAGAAGATCGCTCCTGCAGGTGGGCTGTTGGGAGGCAACAGGCGGGGCGGGGCTGGCATCTGCACGTGAAACACAGGAGAGTTACACACATCAAAGTGAGCGTTTTACAAGCGGTTCGGTGCTGGACCGGCAGAGTTCCCTGTCCCTGGGGCACAAACAGCACAGGAACCCTACACAGCTCTGCCAATAAGCTTTGCTCTCACGTGGTGCCTGTCTTCAGAGGGATGCATGTGCTTTACACAGGTGTAATTGTCCCCAAGTGACAGGTAGGGAAACTGAGGCACCCATGGGGTAGTGGAGGGGATCTTGCCCAAGGTCACCCAGCAAGCCACCAAAAGTCAGGACTCCAGATCTGCTGCAGATCTTCCAACTCCTCGACACTAGGTGGTGCGGTCTCTCCTCCACTCAACCAGCTGAAATCTGGAGCCAAGTCCTGAGAGTGGCCATGCTGCACTGGGCATCAGAGGAAGGGCAGAACACTATGGGATGGGCTGATCTATTGACGAAGGAGCTAGCTCGCCATCTCTGCCCATCTCGGAGCACTTTGCCAACTCCGGCTCGGCCTCACCGCGCCCGGCCAGGCCAGGCAGCAGGCAGGATCCCACAGAAAGTCAGCAGGAGAGCTGAGAACAGGCTCCCGGCCGGCTGAGTCCCTCTCCGGCATTGGAACGGTGAATCTTTGCTGCAGATGCCCTGGGGGGAGTGTTTCAGATGCCAGTGCTCACATGCCATGAGCTACGTCCTGCCCCTCCCAGGCTCTCACGCTGCCCCATGGCAGGACATGGAAGAACTCGGCTCTCAAGGGGGTCTTGGCCAGTCTGCTGCGTGAGGCCACACGACCCTCATTGCCTGAGGGGTGACTGCAGCTCTGCACCCTGCCTTGCAGACCCCCACGGTGGCTCCTTCTCCCCCAGCACAAGGGCACAGCTGGGGTAGCCCCGGGCTGCGTCAGCCTCCCTCGGAAGCCCCTTGCTTGCTGGCACGCCAGGGATCCAGACGCTGGAATAGCTGATATGCTCCCAATGGGAACGGGGGCAGAAAAATCTATGGGAGGGTAGAAAGAGGCAGCGCTGAGACTTGTCCCGTCTGTCCCCGACTGCACACGCGCTCTGCAGGGCTGGATGGGAGGTGGGGCCTGTCCCCCCAGCCCCTCCCATCGACCCGGGATGGGACCTGCCAGAGGATCAGGGCCAGCGCATTGAGGAGACCCCATCTCCCACTGCGGTGGAACCCCTCAAAGCTGGACAGTAGTTGGTGCAGGGCTCCGGGCAGCATGTCCCCATCTGAGGGGCTGAGAGGCAGGAGGGGTGTGGGGGACTCTGCACAGACCTGGTGGCTCCACAGAAAACCAGGCAGGTCTTGGGGGAAAAAAATCAAGGGCCTTGGAACTCTGCCTCTGCAGACAGCAGGAAACCCGTCCGCCTGGGGAGGAACTGGGAGACAACCCTCGGCTTCAGGCTTAAGCTACGGAGGGGAGCACTGTATCCCACTGGGCCCCCCTTGCTGCCTGGGATTGCTCATTTGGGGAGTGGGTTTGAAGTGCATCAACCCTACTCCCATTTGGAGGCAGCGTGGCCCCATGTGATCGCACCCCCTCGGGGCAGGAGTTCCTCAGGGCTGTCCCGCTGTTTGGCCCCTCAGGCTCCTGATCAGGCCCCGGACACGCTGCCCACCATGAGCTGTACCTCAGCCCGCTGGGCTCCCAGGTAATAAAACCCTTCCCATGCGGTGCTGCCCAACTGCATCCCAAGTGACATCACGCTCCCTGCCTCATCAAGTATGTGCAATGGCACGTGCCTCATCCCCTGAGAAAAGAGCCCACAGCTCGTGGGGACGGATACACACAGATCGCTACATCGGAGGCAGCACCCCTAGTGGTTAGAGCAGGACACTGGGTATTTCTAAGGCCCACTATGCAGGTGAGTAGTTATAAGCAAGGACAGAACTTGGGGCCTCTGGATTCCAAAGCCTGCCCCATTGCTCCATGAGCCAGGCTGTTGCAGGATTATCAAGCGCTCTGTGCAGCCTGGCGACCACTAGAGGGGGCTGCATGGTGGGTTTCTATTCTAATCCCTTACTGCGTGGCTCTGAGCACGTAGTAATCCTGCCGACTCTCAGTTTGTCTGTCTATAAAATGGGACAATAGTCACAGACCCTTTTTCATCAACTGCTTCGTGATCCCTGCATGAGAGGTACCAGATGCAGTGAACATTCCCTCTGGAAAACCACCCTAGCCCATGTCAAAGGGCACCAGCCTGTGAGGCCAACTTGGCTTTTCTAGCCAGAGTATCCTGGATGTAGTTCTTTCTGGAGCCAGACACTACCATTCCTGAGCTGGCTGGGGGTCAGACGCACTCCAGGGCCAAGCGCAGTGCTCCCAGCCCCGCTCCCCGCGGCCTGGCAACATGTTAGACTAAGCAGCACCACGTACTGCAGGGGAAAACACAAGAGAGTCTTTTTTTCCTTTTGGATGTGTTCAGGAAACTTGGTGCAAACATGTTACTCTCAGAGACGGCCCTGACTCCGCGTCCTAGGATCATATCCGGCTCCGAGCTCTGGCACATCTCCAGCTCTCCTCCAGACGCCTTGGCAGCCTCCCGTGCCCCATACGAAGGGGGCCGTGTTAGCCGTATGACCTACCAGACAACGGGCCCTGCGCCACGACGTAGCTGCGGAGAGTGATGTCGGCGGAGCCGCCGGACTCCAGCGGGATGGGGTGGGTGTGGAAGTGCCGCAGCATATCGAAGATGGTCTGGAACCAGAGGTGCTGCACATGGCACTGTCCAGTCTCGTTCAGGGACAGCCGCAGGTGCTGCAAGAGAGGAGCGCAGTGAAGCAGACAGGCATGCCAAAGGGTCAGGCTGCGACAGCATTAGTTCTTCCCCAGCCAACGCTCGTCTCTTGTTTCCATCATGCACCCAGTGGAACGTTTACAGCTCCCCCAATCCAAAGGCTACTGGTTATCTATCAGCAAAACCGTGTTTTTTCCGCTTCGCTAGCAATTTGGCTCAAAACAGGAAGATCTCACGTTTCAGGGCATTGCACATGACACTGATTGGCTGCCAAGCAACAGTTGCTATGACCCATTCAGAAACCATCTGGTCAGGGAAGCAGGTTACTAGCCACATGAAATAGACTCTTTGAGAAGATGGGAAAATAAAAAGCAAAGCACCTTTACAAAAAATCTGCACATCCAGCAGGGAGTTTCTACCCAGTTACCGTTCACTCCCACAGGCAAGCTAACAAGCAACTGAACTGCAGCAAAAGCCATTTGTGGGGAAATCAAGGGCCATGTGCCCTCAGTTACCATTTTTTGCAGGGAATGGCCTGTTAAAACGAACCCCTTCAGGATTCACACACAGCACGAGTAAGGCGAGTGCATTTCACTTTCAGCTGCCAGGCCACAGAACTGTGCAGCCAGCACCAAAGGGATAAGCTTGCTCTCCACGAGAGATTAACTAGCAGCATCACCCGGGGAGAATGGACACCTCTTCACTAGAATGTGGATGCCTGCAAATTATTCCTATGGAGCCTCTCAGGCTGTCTGAGACTATGTCTACACAGCAGCGTTATTTTGGAATAACTGACGTTATTCTGAAATAACAAAGTCCGCATCTACGCTACAAACAGTTAATTTTGACAATGTCAAAATACTGTCAAGCTGGAGGACTTCTTCCTCTGACTTCTTTAACCCTCATTTTATGAGGAGTTAGAGAAGTTCAAGGAAGAGTGCTTTACCGTTAAACTGAAATCACAGAATCATAGAACCATAGAGCTGGAAGAGACCTCAGGAGGTCATCAAGTCCAGCCCCCTGCTCTAGGCAGGACCAATCCCAACTAAATCAACCCGGCCAGGGCTTTGTCAAGCCGAGACTTAAACACCTCTAGTCCGCGTCTTCACAGCAAGCCGTTATTTCGACATAATGTCAAAATAATATCAAGTTTGAGGACTTCTTGCTCCGACTCCTGGAGTGTGTCTAGACTACATGGCTCCATCGATGGAGCCATGTAGATGAGTTTACTCAGCAAAGGGAAATGAAGCGGAGATTTAAATAATTGCTGCTTCATTTACATTAAAATGGCCTCCGCGCTGTGCTGATCAGCTGCTTGTTGGCACAGCGCGGGAGTCTAGATGGGCATCTACCGACCCCAGAACCCTTTGTCGTCAGATCCTTTATGCCTCGGCTGATTGGCACAGCGCGGTGGTCATTCTGATGTAAAGGAATCGCCGCTTCATTTCTCTTTGCCGAGTGAACTCATCTACATAGCTCTGTCGACGGAGCCATGTAGTCTAGACACACCCCTGTAGCCTTCATTGTACGAGGAGTATGGAACGTTAGAGGAAGAGTGCTCGACTTCCTGCTGTGTAGACGGTGCCAAAAGCCAAAATAAGCTATTTCGACTTGAGCTATGCAATTATTTCAGCTTTAGTCCGGCTTTGTAGACATGCCCTAAGTGTTTAGAGTGATCAATGCCAAGCAAAAACAGAACAAAAGGGAGTGATTTTAATCCAGTGATCTCAAAGCACTTTAGTAAGAGAGCTAAGTATCAGCCCAGTTTTGCAGAGGAGCTGCACAGAAAGGGGTTGAGTAACCTGCCTGTGGTTGCTCAGTGAGTCAGTGGCAGTGGAGAAATAGATTGCAGATCTCCAGAGGTGTCCCCTGATCTATGCACTAGATCCATGTTCTTCTGCTGGGATCCTTTCTCCCACAGGACAATTCAGCCATGTCAGCCTTTCACTGGGATGCAGGCTATCTGGCTGCTGATCCATGGCTGCGGCTATGTCTACATTGCTGCTTTTTAATCGGAAAAAGGTACGTAAATTGGTCCCTTTTTCTGATAGTTTTGTCGGAAAAGGCCTTTCCAAATTTTGGCCCGTCTCCACTGGGCCAAATATCAGAAAAAAACTCTTTCAGAAGAGCCCTTCTTCCTCATGGCACGAGGAAGACAGGGCTTCCAAAAGAGCAAGTCTGCTCTTCTGCAAAAGACAGTGCGAGAAATCAAATCTTGTGAGACAGAATCACCTAATACAGAAGTGCTCAACCTTTCTTCATTCGTGGCTCTAGGAGCAAAAAAAAACCCAAAAAACAAACCCACGGGTTGCACTCTGCAGACCTAGTACATGCTTAATCTGGGGCACATGATTCATACTCTGCCTAAAAAGGGGTCTGCATTAGACACACAAAAAGCCAACCCGCCAGGCAATCTTGTGAGACAGAATCACCTAATACAGAAGTGCTCAACCTTTCTTCATTCGTGGCTCTAGGAGCAAAAAAAAACCCAAAAAACAAACCCACGGGTTGCACTCTGCAGACCTAGTACATGCTTAATCTGGGGCACATGATTCATACTCTGCCTAAAAAGGGGTCTGCATTAGACACACAAAAAGCCAACCCGCCAGGCAAGAACAAACAGGCCTTATCTAAAAAGAAGAAGAAGGAAAAAAAATAAAAGCAGGCCTTGCTCTGATCTTTCTATTGTGACATTCCTGGCAGGCTGGTATGGGGACAGGGATCTGCCAACATTGTTTCTTTTCAAGCCTTCCTGCCTTTGCAGAGTACAAGCACGGTCAAACTTGCGAGATTTCCACTGCCCAGCTTGGCATTCGGAGTGGCCAGACTGAGGGTACGTCTACACTACAGCGCTAGTTCGAACTAACTTAGTTCGAATTAGTTAATTCGAACTAAGCTAGTTCGAACTAACGCATCTAGAACTAAAAACTAGTTCGAACTAGCGTTTTGCTAGTTCGAACTAGTAAGTCCACATTGAGTGGACTCTGAACAGGGCTTAAGGATGGCCGGAAGCAGTGCCGGCAGGGCATAAAAGGAGGACTTAGAGCATGGAGATACTGTCTCAGGCTAGCCGAGGGCTGCGCTTAAAGGGTCCCGACCCCCACCCCGGACACACAGTTCTAAGGGGTGCCCCGCTTGCAAAGAAGTTCTGGCTTGGAGTGCCCTGAGTGCCCACACTGGGCACATCACACCACTCGGCCATCAGCCCGGCTGCACTTGCCGCAGGCTGCCATCTGGGGAGAGGGAGTAATTGGGGGGCTGCAGGAGAGCTTCCACCCCCAGAAGCCCGCAGAGCCAGCCCAGTCCTCCCCATCGGGGGCTCGTACCCCATTCCTCCCTCACCTCCTTCCACTTACCCTTCCCTAGCCCCCCTTCTTATTGATGTACAAAATAAAGATAACGTTTCTTCCAACATTGACTCTGTCTTTATTGAAAAAAACTGGGGGAGACTGGGAAAAGGAGGTGGGAGAGGGGAAGAGAAAGGCTGGGAGAGGGGAGGGCAACTAACATGATCAGGGGTTGGGAACAGGTCCCAGATGAAGAGAGGCTACAGAGACTGGGACTGTTCAGCTTAGAAAAGAGGAGACGGAGGGGGGACAGGATAGAGGTCTCTAAAAGCAGGGGTTGGGTGGAGAGGGTGCATTCAGAAAAGTTCTTCCTGAGTTCCCATAAAGAAGGACTAGAGGACACCAAAGGAAAGGAATGGGTAGCAGGCTTGAAACTAGTAAGAGAAAGTTGTTCTTGACAAAGCAAATAGTTAACCTGTGGAACTCCTTGCTGCAGGAGGCTGTGAAGGCTACAACTAGAACAGAGTTTAAAGGGAAGTGAGATCAAGTCATGGAGGTTGGGTCCATGGAGTCCTATTAGCCAGAGGGTAGGAGTGGTGTCCCTGCCCAAAGTTTGTGGAAGGCTGGAGAGGGATGGCACGAGACAAATGGCTTGATCACTGTCTTCGGTCCATCCCCTCCAGGGTCCCTAGGGTTGGCCGCTGTTGGCAGACAGGCTACTGGGCTAGATGGACCTTTGGTCTGACCCAGTACGGCCATTGTAAGCTCAGGGCTCAGGGTCGGGGGTCTCAGTGGACCCCCTTGATTTTCATGCACACCTGGTCCTGGGTGGCCAGGCTGGCAGCTCTCCTGCCCTAGACGGCCACTTTCCTGTGCCTAGTGCAGAGATCGTGGACAAGGTCCATTATGTCTGCACTAGCCCAGGAAGGTGCCCACTTCTTGCGGTCCTGGGGCAGGGTCTGCTAGCTGGGTGCTGGCAGGCTTGCACCTGGCACGGGCACCGTAGCCAGCCCGTGCCCCTTTAAGGGGTCCGGGGCCGGGAGGGGGGCATAGAGTTTCCCTGGTGTTGGCCAGAGTGGCCACCAGGGAAACCTGGGGAGGGCTAGCCTCCCACTAGTTCGAACTAAAGGGCTACACAGCCCTTAGTTCGAACTAGCTAGTTCGAACTAGGCGTTAGTCCTCGTAAAATGAGGTTTTCCTAGTTCGAACTAAGCGCTCCGCTAGTTCGATTCAAATTCGAACTAGCGGAGCGCTAGTGTAGCACCTATTAAAGTTAGTTCGAACTAACGTCCGTTAGTTCGAACTAACTTTGTAGTGTAGACATACCCTGAGAGACCTAGATGGCAGCAGCATTTCTTGCAGTAGGGGGCTAACTCCTTCTGGGGACTGAGCCCGGAGACTAACCCATGAAGGCTACTGGCAGAGTGGGTAGTTTGGGGTCGCCCAGGGCAGTGTTTCTCTGCCTTTTTTTATCAAGTACCCCTTTTTCAACAAAACACAATTATAAGTGCCCCCCATACCTACAGTTTTCAGACACACATTTGTTTTCTACCATTGCAACACATTTGTTTAAACAACTTAACCGTAGCCGGGCGGGCGATGAAAATGTTGGGTGTAAAAGGTACAAAAATAATAAAGCGCTGGAAAGCTTAAAACAAACATTCAGTTTTCTCCAAATGTCAGCTGTGTTGATGTGTCCTGCAGACGTCTCTCGAGTGCCCCGAGGGTGCTTGTACCGCTGGTTGGGAAACACTGGCCTAGGGCATTTTACACCTTCTTCAGTAGAGCGGATCTGCCAGTGCCCCCTCTGGCAGCATCCTGAGCCAACACTTCCTCCTGCACTGTAATCCTGCAGGGCTGTTCTCCACGTACCCCCCACCCCCCTCTGTCAAGTGGCTCATTCACTCTCCCCTAGCAGCACTGCTTCCCACGGGCTCCTTGGACGGCTCTAGCAGGCGAACATCCAGCTTCCTTCAGAGCCCCCTTTGTAAGGGGAGGGGGTGGCAGCCACAGCATCCTGGGAATTCCAGTTCTGGCAGCCATCTGACAACCCCTTCCTCGCTTTCAATCGGCTGCCAAATGTTCATATTGCTCTCTGGATACGTCTGCCCTGCAGCTACATGTGTAACATGCCCAGAAATACTGAGGTACAGCTTACAAGGGCACACCGAGGAGGTATCCGTGTACTAGCTTAGTTAGAGCTGCCCACTGAAGATAACCACAGTGCTGTGGGTGACAGGATGGGCCAATGGCCTGCATATGGGCCTAGGTCTTGGATGCGATGGTGTCAGAATGGCTAGCCCCTCCTGCTGCCTGCACTCCAAGGCTTGGCAGCCTGATCAAACTAAGCTAGTACACGTTTATCTACTCAATGTACCCTTGGTACTGGCTCGCAGATCAGTATTTCTGCATCTGTTAAAAGGTGTCAGTGTTCCACCCCAGAACTAGCTGCATTCCAGTGATGCTGTGCTGATCCCTGTTCATCTCATAGTTCTCCATCTTCTCTTCAGATACAAGGGTGCTGCTACCACTGAAAGTCAGGAGAGCTTTGTCTAGAGAGTCTGTGGGCAAGGCTGATGTGCAGTGTTACAGCTCGATACATGGGTGAGTCTATTCCTGACCCTGCCATTGGCCTGCTGGGGGACTTGAAGCAAGTCATCGCCCATCTTGTGCCTCAGTTTCCCCATCTGTAAGAAGGGGGCAATGATACTGACCTCCTCTGTAAAGTGCTTTGAGATCTAACAATGAAGAGAGTGAGATACTCGTACTAGTTTGTGGAGTGCTTCCTGTTCTGGTAACCATGCAGATCTCTGGATGAAAGGCCATGCACATGTTAGCTTTTTTCACTCCCCCTCATGGAGCACAACACTAAAATGATGGAGAATCACTGGGAGATGGATGGGATTTCTCTTCCCTTCCTGCCCTAGTTTGTTATGTGGCGGTGGCCATGTGTTTTAAACAGCTGCTATGTTCCTCTGCAGAGGTGGCGACATTTCAGCAACAGATGGAATGGATCCTTGGCCATCATCCTCGCATGAAAGATGGTTTCAAGGGCAGAGGGCAAGGGTCATTTGCATTTGGGGACCTCGGCAATCTCACCAAAGCCCCATCAATAATGACCCTGTGACGTAGGGGGGGTACCTTGCTGGTTGCTATGCTGGGCAGTGGGTTGTGAGTGACCTCCACTGGCTGCTGGACAGTCCAGGTACCCCCCACTACGTCACAGTCCCTTCCAAGCATCTTTTCAGAAGTCAGCAGAATATCTTACTTCAGAGCCCCGCAGTAATCAGACAAGCTCCCTGACAAAGCTCCCTGTCCCATTCCCTGCCTGCTACATGTCACTGAGACGTGGAAGACAAACGGGAGAACTAGCGAGTATTAGTGTGTGTAAGGGTTAAATGTCTTGGAAAATGCGACCATGGTAATGGGGCACAGCACAGGCAGACCCTGCTTCTATAGATTTACAGGCTAGTTTTGATTCCTCCTCCTTGCTCAGGATAGAGGAGCATGCAGCTGTACCCAAGATGTAACTTTGTAATGCCTCTGTGTTAACAATGCTCTCTTCCTTGTGCCTTTATCTGCCCTGACATATACATTCAGGGTCACATCGCCTGTATCCTTTGCAAGTTGCTGATTCACAGAGTTTTGTGGTGTGAGACCTGCCTACATCAGCTAAAAGCTGTAAACAGTAAACGGATGGGTGAAATTATATTCATCACTGAGACTATGTCTAGACTGCGGGCTTTTTTCGGAAAAACCTTTTTTCGGAAGTCATCTTCCGAAAAAACTTCCGAAAGAGAGCATCCACACAACAAAAGCGCATTGAAAAAGTGATCGAAAGATAGCGTCCACACTGAACGGACGCTATCTCGCATTTAAGCTGTGATTACTATGGACGGAGTGGCTATCAGGGCACCTGTGCTTTTTCCTCTTCTTCCGAAAGAACTCCCTCTTCCCTGTCAGAGCTCTTTCAGAAAAAGGCTTCGTTCTCGTAGAAAGAGAATTACCAATGCCGGAAAAACTCCTCTGTTCTTTCGGTTTACTTTCAGAAGAACGCGACTGCAGTGTGGACGTAACTCAGGTTTTGTCGGAAAAACGGCTGTTTTTCCGACAAAACTCTGTAGTGTAGACATACTCGTAGTTGTAATTAAGCATTATGGGGCATTCACATTACTAAAGTAGGTCTTAAAGGGTCAGGCAATTGACAGATGTATTTATGTACTAACTAAGCTAACAAGGTGGAACTTGGGGTTCATTTGTTGCTCACTCGCATCCCAGGCAAGCCAGACCCAAGACATACTCAAAGACCAGTGAGAAAGGTGCCCTGTTATTCCATCCACCTCTAGGCCAGCCTGTTCTCTTCTAACAGTGAGTTTTAAAACCAGCGGAATCATCCGCATCACAATGACACTTGCCTTTGCTTTCCCCTGGAAGTTAAACGTCAGCACGTATTCGCCTGGTCGAGTTTCACTCTGCCGAATGACAAATAGACCGTGACTCCTGGTCCCACCAAAGAGCACCAGCTGGGCAGCTTTGATCCGTGACAGCGTCCCGTGGAACCAGGGGAAATCTGAGAGGTTGATCTCCACGTCTGCCTCGCTCTCCTCCCCTGGCACAGTTGGGAAGGGGTAAAAGAAAGGCCGTTTAGAGAGTAAAATGCATGTTCGTCTTTAGCAAGGGATGGCGGCAGCAGGGAGTAGGCTGCAGGGCTCTGGTAGAAGTTCTGGCGATTCCAGCCGGCAGCGGGACCAAGGTGTTATGCTACACATGCTGGGAAGATGAGGTCTGAATCGAACACAGAGGAGCGTGTATGTCTGAAATGCGCCCCTGTGTAGCTATGCAGACTGGCTTCTGGGTGGCTGAGCTACTCTACTCAATGGAGGAGTGGCCGGGCAAGGCAGAAAAATGTTTGATGGGTAGCAAAGGCAGGTTAGGAAGGAGAGTTTGTAGACAGGTCGCACCTCTATGAACTGGGGATCTCTGGCCCGGCAACATCCATGGGCCAGCAGAGCCCCGGGGCAGGAGAGCCAGTTCCTGGGAGCCCCATGCATGGCAAGGCTGGTGGTAGAGGGGCTGGAACCGTGGCAACCCAGTGGCAGCAGGGAAGCCAGGGTTGGGGCAACCCAGCTGGGACCGGGGCAGCCTGACCGGGGCTGCATGCCAGCCTGACAGTGGGGCAGAGCCGCAGCAGTCCAGCAGGGGAAGCCGGCTGGGGCCAGGGCCACTGAGCTAGGGCTGAGGCAGCCTGGCTGGGACCAGGACAACTTGGCCAGTGCCACATGCAAGGTAGAATTGGGTGCACTCATCCCTTCCTGCCTGCATATCCAGCCCACCATCACCACCTCTTCCTCCCCAGCTTTATTCCTGAGTCCATCATCCCAAGGACATCCACCCCACAAATCGGCCCCTCCCCGAACACCTGTCCCTGTTAACATCCCTTTCTTTAATCCCCCCCTTTGGCCCTTCCTCCTCACATCTTCCTCCTTAGTCAGAACGCGGAAGTTCTGCTTGGTGCTTGCTCAAGAAAAACCCACATTTCATTTCAATGGGATTTCCCCCTTTTCTTTTAGCAAGTGTGTCACATGAAGCAAGTCAGCTGGAAGGTGGCTAACCTGGCTCCTGCCCCCCAACCCTCTTGGAGCCCTGCAGGTACCTGCTAAATGACTGCTGAGGGTTGGCGACTCTAGAGTCTGCAGGAAGTTTTCCAGTGGCACATGGGCCAGATGTTCCCCAGAGGAGTCCCTGGCCCGGCCATGAGGGGCTGAGATGACAGTGGCAGCAGCTGGGGCGGCCGGGTGGCTGGCGAGCACGGCACATCGGTCAGGAGTCCTGTGCACGCCTGAAAGGAATGCAGACATCAATGGACGAAAGCTCAAACCACAGGGCCGGCCCTGGACCCACAGGATCAGTGCGACCCCCGCAGCTTTGGTCTCTTCCCTTTGAGGGGCCAAGCCCCCCCACTTCAGGGTAAGCCACACAGCCTCCCAAGAGTGACCCTCGGGGGCTCCCGCACTCCTGCTTCACCCACCGCGAGTGTAGCTCAGCAAGTCCATCCGAGAGCCACACCTGGTTGAGACGTGCCCACCCCTTGGGGTGTATCTACCTCACCAGTATTTACAGGGACTCTCAGGCAGTGTTGTCAAAACAGGCGGATTTCTTAGCCACCTGGACCGCAGTGGAGAAAGTTCCTCACCGAGGACTGATGAAAGCACAGCACGGCCTGGCTAGCCCAGAGCCCCAGCCCAGCTGTCCTCAAACTCCATTTTCCCGCTCTGCCTCATTCAGGCTCTGTCTACACTGCAGGTATTTGTCAGCAGAGAGTATGCTAATGAAGTGCTCATTAGCATTTGTCACGCTGTCATTTGCATATTCTCTGCTGATGCTTTTTGCGCAAGAGGTTTTGCGCCAAAACAAGCAGTGTAAATGGGTCCGTTTTGCGCACATAACACCCTTTTGCACAAGACCCTATATGCCTCCTGAGGCAAAAGGAATCTTGCACAAAAGGGTTTTTTTGCAGAAAACGGACCCGTCTACACTGCTTGTTTTGGCGCAAAACCTCTTGCGCAAAAAGCATCAGCAGAGAATATGCAAATGACAGCGTGACAAATGCTAATGAGCACTTCATTAGCATACTCTCTGCTGACAAAAACCTGCAGCGTAGACATAGCCTCAGCCTGCCCTCCTTAGCCCATTCCCGTGTGAGAGCCCCCAGGTTCCTCAGGAGCCAACAGTGTACCCCCCACTTCACACCTTCCAGCCCTCTGACCTCAGGTCGGGGTCTGTGCTCAGCTTCCTGGCTAAGAGGTGGGGGCGCTCCATCTCCCTCTGGGTCACTGCTTCCCTAGGTGCGTTTTCCACTGAGACAGGGTTGACCAGTGCCAGGGTGCTGGCTTCAGCCAGTCCCCACCCACACCCCTCTTAGCCTCAGAGCCAACTTAGTCCTCCCTCCTGCCCCCACTCAGTAGCCATACAAAACTTCCAGGGACCGAACAGGGTGTTACAAGGAGAAGGGAGATAAATTATTCTCCTTAAGCTCTGAGGCTAGGACAAGAAGCAATGGAATTACACTGCAGCAAGGGAGCTTTAGGTGGTTAAGCGCTGGAATACATTGTTTAGGGAGGTTGTGGGATCTCCATCACTGGAGATTTTTAAGAGCAGGTTAGACAGACGTTTTTCAGGGATGGTCCAGATAATGCTTGGTCCTGCCGTGGGGGCAGGGGACTGGCCTTGATGACCTCTTAAGGTCCCTTCCAATTCTATGATTCTTTATAGGGGAAACTGAGGCAAACAGAGGCTTACAAATATTACAAGTGCTCAGCACCATGTTCAGTACTAAATGACTAGGTGCATTATCCTCTATGTGCTCTGCTCCTATTAGAGAGGAAGGAAGATCATCTGCTGATTTAGCATGTCAGGTTAGTTAGTGCCAGACTGGTCCCCGGAGAGACTGCAGTTTTCCATTGATCAGAGAATGGGTCCAGACAACCTGCCAACCTGTTCCTACCCTGCCCCGGAAGGCTCCCTAGAAGTGAGAGAGACCGTTCAGGCTCCAACGGGCCGTTCTGCGGTGACTAGTGACAACGGTGCTGTGAGGTTCCCGTGGGAGTGGGAAGGACTCGTCCGATGCTCAGCAGAGCGCAGAGAGCCAGAGGTACCCCCCTCCCGTGCAGTTCTCAATCCCCTTGCCCTCCATTTCTATAGGGAGAGGCAGGACGAGGAGTCTACTGGGGCCAGGCTAGGATCGGCTGCTGGCAACCGAGCCCAAGAAAGAAGGGGATTTTAGTGGAATCAGAAGGGCTGGATGTTTGGCCTGCATCCCTGGCCTGTCAGATCAGCGCGGCTGCATCCTGGATGAGAACAGCTCCCGAAGGGGTGGGGAGTCGTGCCCACATTTTGCGATCTTTCTATGGTCTGCTGCGTTGTCACCCTGGAACCCAGCCTAACTCCCCACGAGGCCCCACCTCCGAACCCAGCATTGCTGGGGATCGCCTCTGTTTGTCCCTTACCATCAGCCAGAAATTCGCAGCTGCAGGAGGGCACCCTGCCTGGCAGGCAGGCTCCCTGCACACAGGAGGAAAGTTCAATGTCATCTCCGCTGTCCCTGCGAGGAAAGAAACAGAGCAAACCAGGCCATCACTCTCTGAGGGCACCTGCCTCGCCGGGAGGGAGTGGGGAAAGAATTTCCACTCTGAGGTGGGAAATGGAACCCATTTGGCTGGGCAAGTTCTAGCTCCAGGCACTCAGTTGGCTGCGCTCAGAAAGGAGTGGATCACATTTCTAGTTCCTGGAGGACCAGCAGAATTCACACGAGCTCTCTGCAGTATCAATAGGCCTCCCGGGGAAGCGTGGGGCATTGGGATGGACCTCAGGTATTAAAAAACACAGACAGAATTGCAGGCCCACTCTGCCAAATCACCCAAGCATCCAGGATATGTTGGCCCTAATGCAAAGCACAGAAGAAGGGCACGGAGATGGGGCTTGCTAAAAGTCTGCTAGCCAATGTTTTTTGATGAAAAACTGGGGGTGGGGAGGTTGGACTAAAACATTTTTTTTTTTTGGGGCAAAAAAAGTTCCTGCAGAAGCTTTCATTTTTCCCAGTCAAAATACTTTGGACACAATCTTTCCATTTTTTGCCCAAATCTTTCAGTTTGCAGTGAAAGGCTTCGAAAATGCCAACGAAAACAAGGGATTTTTTTGTTTGGTTTTTTCCCAGTGGAGAAAAAAGAATTTGGACCAACTGTGCACAAAGCACGTCTCTGAAGGAGGCTCAGACCGAGGCTCCAGGACAGAGGAGCTGATGCAGAGAAAACCCTGGAAGTTCTGGGTATCAGTTTCTCACGGGGCCCATTGCTCCTTCTCGCCCATCTTCCTACCTACTGCTCACTCCTGGCCAGCACAGTCCACTCCCACCTTCTCCCTGTATGCCCCACTTCCGTCCCCTGCCATCTGCCTTGCTTCACAGGTCTAGGCTAGAGCCCTCCCTCTCCGCTCCCAGATGCAAGGTGGCCCTTGGCTGCAGCTCCTCTTCCCCTTGTTCTGCCTGTCCTTTTGCTAGGCGCTCTGAACTCCCCAGCTGTTTGTCGCACGGCTCCCTGCACAGCTTTGGCCTTCCTGGTACAAACCTCAGCTCTCCAGTGCTCATCCCCACGCAAATACTGGGGCTGCCCTGCCACCAGCATGGGGGCCAAATGAAACTACTGATCCCAGCTTTGCCGGACGGCTGCTGCAGCTTGCTTGCCAGGCACAGCGGTGCTCGCCCAGCGATGGTGGTGACTCGGAGGCCATTTGGGTTGGAAGCTGAATTCAGAGAGAGCATCGGGGACCGAACGGGTGGGGGCAGGCAGGGGAAGGAGGGCAGGTGGGAGAGATGACGCCAGGCCAACCCCAGAGATGGAAGACACTCCTCTGGAGATGGGGGAGCCAATGTTCAGCATCAGGGTGTGGAGTGGGAGCAAGACAGGGCTGGCGGACAGGGAGACACGGACTCTAGGGGGGGCAGCAGCAGCCAATCCAATAGAGGCACAGCAGACCAATTAACCCCGCACCGTGTGGGAGCAGTGTGCACATCTCGGACTCCCCCCGTCAGTCCCAGCCAGGCCCATCTCTTTATTCTGTCGCCACTGTAATGCCAAAAGCCACGTTCTCTTGAAATCCTATTTCTAGCTCAGATGCTCCCGATTGCCCCATAGCGGTGGGGTGCACCCCAGTCTCCGTTAGTGCTGGAGCAACAGCCTGCAGCTTAACCAGGACACGTGCTAGCAGGCAGCACAGGAAGTGGTTTGTGTTCCCGGTAATGGTTTGGCAGGGAGCTGCTGAATTATTTAGTGACCAGCGAAAGAATCAGCAGTCAGAGTCACTCAACTGCAACCCTTAAAAAAAACCCAACAACTCTGCAGAACGTGAGTTGACAGGGCATTGACAAGAAGGTTTCCGGTTCTGACTCTTGGCAAAAGGATCAAGCACCACCCACACAAGATGAATGACAATTCACTCTCAGGGCCAGCCAGGTGTGTTAAATATCCCAGAGAGCTCTATAAACCTGGCTCCTGATGCTACTAATACTTAGGCCCATGATTAGCTTCGGGGTCATGCAGGGTCCCTTGGAGGGCAGCAGGATGGGAAGTTAAGCACATGCATGCAGGATACTGGATCAGGGCCCTTTCTCCTGCAAGGGAGGCAAAGTATTTACCCCCCATAGGCAAATGGGGAGGCAGGAGTGGCTGTCCAATTGTTTACCTGTAGCCACAGAGCATGGCAGTGGCCGAGCCAGGGGTCCTGGCTCCTATCCCTTGGCTTATGCCCTGAACACCACACTTTGCAAGCTGCAGGGCAGTGTACTAACGTGTCCCTCTAGACTCCAGACCAGCCCTTGAACACCCACCCCCTTGGCATGAACTCTCCTGTCCTGTGGGCTGGGCTCTCTCAGCCGGAGGCTCCTGAACATCCTCGCTAGGGAAGCAGAACATGTACAATGGGCTCCCAAGGCAATGACTCAATAAGAAACAAAAGACTCCTCCTTCCACAGTTCTTCCCTTCACAACCGAGCCACCAGGGGATCCCCCCCAGCGAACAGCTTCGAATTCCAGACGTGCTTGGAATGAGAATGGAGCCTTATGCTGCGGAAAGGCAGCTAACGCCAAAGCAAATAAGTCTAGTGGCCACTGTGAGATGTTTGTTAAGGTGTTGGCACCTTTTCCATGATCGCTTGAGTCTATCCTTTTTCCCCCCCTTTAAATCCTCGGGTGCATTTACGCTGCAGGGCTTAACTCGAAATAAGCGACGCAAACTGAGCTACGTCAATTGTGCAGCTTACTTCAAAATAGCTTAGTTCAAAATACGGAGCGACTACTCACCGCCGACTTCCCTTACTCCTTGTACAGTGAGGCTTACGGGAGTCGGAGTAAGAAGTCCTCCAGCTTGACAGTATTTACACATTTAGAAATAACTGCCTGCTGTGTAGATGCCGACTAAGTTATTTCGAAATAACGCTAGTTATGCCGAAATAATGTTGCGCTGTAGATGTGCCCTCAGTGATATTAAGACAATAGCTTCCATTTCTACAGCGTTTCCAACCTGACGGACACCATGCCACGCTGGGTGTAGGCTGCTCACGCAGGAATCACCGCCTGCCAGGGAAACCCAACCATCTCTGAGGTAGAAGGCAGCAGCTGTCTAAACAGTGGCACACCACCACAGCACGAGAGGATGTGAAGACAGAGGCTGTATCCAGTTGTAATGGCAGGAAGAACTGACTGTAACATGGTGGTGAGCGTGTGCAAAACATCCAGGATTCCAGACACCGATACCTCCCGCTTACGTGATGGCCACCATATCGGCTGACACACAGGATCTCCCCTGGGGCCTACCGAGCTACAAACAGGAGCTGCTCGGGCTGGAGAGCCAGACCTCTGGAGCTGGTGACAGGGAGGGACTCAGGGACTCGGCTCCTGGAAGCACTCACATTGCAGGCGGGAAGGGACTCATCCTCTGCGGCTCTCAGGACAGAGTGGGACGCCCCCCACCCGCTAAGCAATGGGCCACACAAGCACTGGGAGAGCAGGCGGAGTGGGAGGGGCCTTGTTTTGCTACAGGTTGAACCTCTGTGGTCCAGGACTCTCTGATACGGCCGGATCACGGCTGTTGCTGGTTTAAGAGAGTCCCAGTGGCAGAGCTTGTCGGCAGCTGGGAGCGGAGCTCACAGGGCACCAAAGCCCACCAAAGCTGAGGGTAGGGTGGCCAGGTGTCTGGTATTGCCCCGCACAGTTCGGTATTTGCAGCCTCTGTTCGGTGAAAAAAACCAGAAAATACCGGACATGTAGAATATAAACTGTCCAGTATTTTCTGTTTTTCTTGGACGGAAGGCCACTTCAGACATCCTTCCCCTGCCGCATCTAGTGGAGGGAAGCGTGGGGATTTAAAAGTGCAGTGACTCTTTTTTGTGCCGTTTTTCCCCTTTTCTTTTTGCTCAACCACAGGAGCAAAGAACTGATCTTGGAGTAAATGTAACCTACTCCCAGCTCTCCGCAAAGCTGTACTGGGATGGCAGCAAGCATAGGGATCTCCAGGAGCGAGGGCAGGATAAACAAGCCAGCTTCACAACCCCTCTCAGGCCAGGTCTATACCCAGGGAGAAAGTTGACCTCAGATACACAACTCTAGCTACGAGAATAACATAGCTGGAGTTGATGTACCTTAGGTCGAACTTCTGTGGCGTCCCCGCTGTGGGAGGTCAACAGGAGAAACTCTTTCATTGGCTTCCCTTACTCCTCGCAACACAAGGGCACCATCAGCAGTTGATTTAGCAGGTCCTAACTAGACACACCGAATCGAACCCTGGGAGATGGATCTCTGCAGTGTGATCTCTGGAGAAGTGGAGACAGGCCTCTCTGGTTCATCTGGGAGAAGACAGATGAGATACAGGGAGCTGCAACTTTCATTCTATGGTTTGCAGCTTACTTCAAAATAGCTTAGTTTGAAATAGAGGACTCTTCCGCCGACTTCCCTTACTCCTTGTACAGTGAGGCTTACGGGAGTCGGAGTAAGACTCTGGTGTGGAGCCCTGAACATCATATAAATTGCCACATGCTCAACTTGGGGGATTGATTTTCAGCAGGGGTCCCTACACAGAAGCCTCCACCCTCCATTGTCTCTGTCCAGACAGAGCTCCTGCTGCGAGGCTGCCAACGTCCAAATGCCACAGGCAGGAGAACTGAATTGTTGGAAGCTGAGCCGATGTGAGAGGTCTGGTCTAAACGTTCACCTTGCAGACTAGGACCTTAGCCTTAGTCATGCCCATTCCTAACTAGTCAGTTGGGATCTCCCCTGTCCCACTAATGCTGAGCAACAGAGGCCCCAGGACAGCTCCCTGAAGCACCGCCTTCTAGGCAGAGTCAAAACCCACAGGGAGCCATGGGAATGACTGTCTAAAAGATTCCCCTTAGGCGAGTTCTGTACGGGCCTTACGATGAATCCGGTGATCAATGCAGAAAAATCCCACTGAAAATCCATGCAGAACCCAACCCGAGCGGTTAGGGGGACCATCTGATGACTGCATGAGGGGGAGGCTGTGCACCCCAAAACTAACTCTGGGGAATGAGTTTGTATCTGGGGGCTCTCTTGTTCGATCCCATGTCCACGTAGCCCTTGCACTTTTGGGGAGTCCAGGAGGGGCCTATAACGCAGAGCAGGATACGCCAGATCACAAAGAAGAGCATGGTTAGGTGTGAAATCGAGTCACCCCCAGACTGTCATGTGAGGGACCTTCACAAAGCAGAGTAATGTACTGGGACAGGGGTGGCCAACCCACAGCTCACAAGCCACATGTGGCCTTTTGCTCAAAGGAATGCTACTCATAGGGTTATGGCTCGTTCAGAGCCACGCGCCCAGACTGCTCACGTCGCTCTGCGCACGTGCCCCAGCACCTGGAGGGAGAAGCCCCTGGCTGCGGGGGCAGCTTCGATGAGACCCAGGCATTGGGTTAGAGCAGGGGGTGGGCTGGGGGTGCCTGGCTCTGAAGGAGGGGTGGGTTAGATCAGGAAGGCTGGAGGTGCCTGGCTCTGGGGGAGGGATGGATGCACTGGGGGAGCTGAAGCACCTTAAGCTCAACATCTTCATGGATGCAGAATAAGGCAGCCAACACAGATGTCATATTTAAATTCCAGGGCAAAAAAAGAATCAGCCTGTACCTGGTGTGCACTGTGTTTCTTTAAAGAACAGTTGAATTTTAAAAAACTCCCAAGACATAATAGGGCCGCAGTGTTCAATTTAAAATACATGGTGGGGATGCTTGTTTTTCACGTGAGAGAATATTACGGTATTTTCAAAGGTTTTTTTTTTAATTTGATGTTTGTTCCTTGTCAAGTTCTCTGAAGATCTATGGATAAGTGACCATAGATATATGAAAAAATATAAAATATGTGGCTCTTTCCACTGTAACCACAGCTATTTTGGCTCTTAGTCTCTAAGGGTACGTCTAGAGGCATGTAGATTAGGCTACCGGACATAGTAAAATGAAGCGGCGATTTAAATAATCGCCGCTTCATTTAAATTTACATGGCTGCCGCGCTGAGCCGCCGCCTTGAGCCGACAAACAGCTGGTCAGTCTGGACGCCCCCCTGCCGACATCAAAGGTATTTGCCGGCCACCCAGGTATGCCTCCTGGGATGAGGTTTACCTGGGCGGTTGACAAATACCTTTGATGTCGGCAGGGGAGCGTCCAGACTGACCAGCTGTTTGTCGGCTCAGCGCGGCAGCCATGTAAATTTAAATGAAGCGGCAATTATTTAAATCGCCGCTTCATTTTACTATGTCTGGTAGCCTAATCTACATGCCTCTGTTGCCAGAGGCATGTAATCTAGACGTACCCTAAGGGTGTGTCTAAACTCTGAGGACAGAGGGATGTAGATTAGGCACATCACTATTGCAGATGAAGCGGGGATTTAAATATCCCGTGCTTCATTTGAATAAAAATGGCCACCGCTTTTTGCTGCCGTGGCACTTTGCCGGCAAAAAGCGGCAGTCTAGACAGGGATTGGTCGACAAGGAAAGCCTTTTCCGACTGATCCTGTACACCTCGTTGCACGAGGCATAAGGGATCAGTCAGAAAAGGCTTTCTTTGTCGACCGATCCCCATCTAGACTGCCGCTTTTTGCCGGCAAAGTGCTTCATTGTCATCTGCAAAAAGCGGCGGCCATTTCTATTCAAATGAAGCCCGGGTATTTAAATCCCTGCTTCATTTGCAATAGCAATGTGCCTAATCTACAACCCTCTGTCAGTTTAGACACACCCTAACTCAGTGGTCCCCAACACGGTGACTGTGGGCGCCATGGTGCCCGCAGGGCCATTTGTGTGCGCCCGCCAAGTGCTCGGGGCTGGCCTGGCCCCAGGCACGTGGCACATGCATGGTGCTGGAGCCAGCCCGGGCGCATGGTGCACGGTGAGCGCTGGCCCCGGGAGCACCGCGGATTGGCCGCCCGCGCTCTGGGCGCATGGCGCTTGGGGGGGAGCGCCGGCCCCGGGCGCGCGGCACTTAGAGGAGGCGCCGGTCCCGGGTGTGTGGCACTTGGGGGAGGGGCACCGGCCCCTGGCGTGAGGCTATGGGGGGGCCGCCTCCCACGGGCCAGGGG